TTTATTGAGTTGAACAATGAAGAAGGGGAACTAATAGTTGAATTTCTGCATAATCCCAAGATAGTTGTGGCACATCACTTCTTTGGCTATAAAAGTGAGAATGAATTTGTGAAATGCCTGCTGCAGAAGGCAGTTGCTCTCAAGATACTATCTTTAACTTATGAAAGGCTCAAATTTGATTTTGAATTGAGTGATGAAGATGTCACTTGCAGTAAAGAGCTGGTTCAAGAGGAGATTTGCAGCTTCCCTGGATCTTCCTCCCATGCTTATATCCTATTTCACTAATAGCTCAGAACCTGAGAAGGTTAGCCTTCACCTTATGCTTAAACTCTTGGGAGACTCTTTGGTTTGCCTCTGCATGATCTTTTTCTTAGCACTACAACAAAATTGAATTATAATCACACTTCTTTAGGTAACATATTTTATTATAAAGTGAAATCTTAAAAAGTGCAGCTATTTAAACTTTTAATTTCACTTTTTTCACATTTAGTAGCAATATAAAAAAGTGTAACATTTGCTTGTGTATGTAATTTCTATAATTACATTTTATTCATAATGTATCTAAAAATTTATATAGTGAAGTTGAATCTTAAAAATTGTTCTAAAAAGTATTAAAGAAAGTGCTATTAAAAATATTTTTAATAAAATATTTTAAAAATATGTTGTTTTAAGTCAAATTTGTTGTAGTTTAGCTTTCTTATGATTGTGTTAGACTAAAGGGCTAAGATGAGATTCTCTCCCTATCAATTTAATTCATCAATTTCATTCTATAACCCTTAGATCTGATCTTAGTTTTGTTTCATAATCACAGAAGTAATTCAGTATGCTCACTTTACTGGGTTGATCCTTTTGTATTTATTGTTTGAGTTCTAGTGGCAGCATGTTTATTGATTCCATTAGAATAGTTTAGTCTCAACTTAATAATCCAAAATCTATCATTTCTTCACATCCTCTTTTGGGATGTGCATAACACTTATCAGTGACACGTGAACAATGTTGCTATTCTGGTAGACCTAGAATTTATAAAGAAATATAACACTGATCTACTACACTACTATGTCACAATAAAGAAGAATTCAGCTTCCTTTTTGCACCAGCACAGTTGTTGCCTGCTGAATGGCTTTCTTTGTTCATTAACATTACTTGGAATATACACGTAAAAGTGCTTATTGTTGAAGGAAAGAATGTTTGTGCATGGCTTGTGGATTGGGTGTTGGTTATCTTCCTAGCTATGTGCTTATCATTTATCAACATAACTCCCTTAACTTTCTGAAAGCTAGATTTAGTCTTCAGGTTTTGCTCTCTACCAGTACTGGCAAAATTAATTTCCACCTAGCCACGAAAATTATAGTGGAAATATTAAATAAATGGAGTTCAAAGTAGGAATGCTGGATTTCATGGTCAATTAGACTTTTATAGCAGTTGCTTGAACAATCACATTGAAAACACTTTTGGAAGGAAGACCCCTCTCCTAATTTCATACAACCTTATCTAAATTGTGGCTGTGAGAATCAAGGTTACTTGAGAAGGGACAAGAGACAGGCCACATGTAGTTAGTGATTTAGAGCAGGAACCATATAAAAGCCTAAAAAACCAAGGCTTAAATCTACACGAGGAGAAAACACTTATTTCAAAGAAGTGTGGCATGATCCTGCCCTATTTACTGCATTAAATGATTAAAAAAAATAATTGGAGAAGTAACAAAAAGTCTAGAACTTAAAGCCAAGGGAGTCAAAAAGTGAAGGTCGACCTTTAAAGGCAAGACAACTACTCATAGGCTCAACTGAGTGACTGATATTTTTACGGCCCCTTATACAACTGATGTTAGCCTATAACATCTAGGTAACTACGACTTTATAATAATTCATGCATCCGATATAACCAGCTTTGAGTTTCACAGTTATCAGAAATTTTATTAAGATTATGAGAAAGCAATGATTGAATGTTGCAATATTCCGATCTCAGCTCTTGGTAAAATTGACATAGGTGGGTGAAAAGCAGTATGAGATACTGCAGATATGGTTTAAATTTGACTGATATATAGTTATATATTAACCGTAATGCCATTTTCATTTCTTTGGCAAATTAAATAAAGCTTTCTCTTAACACTTGGCATCAGCCAGCGGGGTCTAACTTGGAAAGGACATTACACTAATTAAGGTTGCCTTAATGCACATAAATTTAACTTAGTAGAAAGGGATTGATGTTGACAGTCTTTTGATTTGATTTCTTCCCTGTGTAGTACATGTAATATTATTTTGATGGACAATTCTGTTATTGAAGATTATGCATATGAGAGGTTTCCCACTTAAAACGTTTTCTTTCTAAGAAAAAGAAATGGTGCCTTACTTGTACATACTTTATATATATATATATATAGACACACACACCATCAATTTCTGTACCAGTTGCTTTGGCAATGTAGCTTCCCATCTTAGGGCATCAAAATCTCTAGGCTCACTGCATCAAGTTACATAAAGGTGAGGGGTGATACTGCAATTGAAGTCAACAAGGGCGTGTGGCTGCTGCTATCATACCTGGAGAAAGAATGCTAAGAGAAAAGAAGTGGACTTGTATTATTTTTAATTGGGGTGGAAAAGTTTTGTGGGTGTAAATTAGAATGCCTGGTCACCGGTTGCAAGTGAAAATACTCAATGGTTTAATTGTGTCCAAGAGAATTTGAGCCAAATCAGGCAGTGAAGTTGCCTTGAGAATATGGTTTACCGTTTTGACTGTATTGGAAGGGTTGCATTAAATATGGGGTAATTAACACTAAATGATCATGACTAGGTCAAGAAGCAAACTTGTTCTTCCTCCCCGTCATTCCTTGTTCCTTTGTTTATTCTTTTGATTTCCCCCTGGAACGCATGGTTAATGCACTGTAAAGATTTTTGCACCTTTATAATTTTACCCCATCTGAAATTTGCAGTGTTATTCTTTTTCAAGTAAACATTGCTATGACAAAGTAACTTCTATTTCTTTAAAATACTTAATAAAAGAAAACTTTTATCAAACATCATTTCTTGGGAAAAGATATAATCAGCAATTAAGTTGTATCTTTGTCATTATTTTGAAGATTTATTCATCTTGTGTTAAATTTGTGGCACTAACAAGTATTGAGAGGCTTTTTTGATTTTTTTTTTCCCCTAGAAATAGTCATATGACACTGACAATGACATTGAGATAAAATATTTCCGACCCCATCCTGAAGCTTGAGTTTTTGTCTAGGTATATATACAAAAATTTTGAAATTCTTCGAGGGATTCGGTAGTTAAACTCAGAAACATGAAAGATTTTGGCAATTAATACAACCTGAGGGTGTTTTGGGAGTTACTGTAACCAAAAGGAAACAGGTGAAGCTGGTGGGTCCAAACTGACTTTGGAGATTAATGCATGAGCTGGTACTGTTACCATTATTGAAAACTCATATAGTGTTTCATGCAATGGTACTTCTGTTATGCAGATCCAAAAAACATTATAAAACAAAACAAGAAGAAGAGCTTAGTTAAAGGCCTTGGGTGCTGGGTCTATCTGAGGTAGTTAAATGAATAAAATCTCCTAGTGTTAGAGCAGAGGTCTGGATCAAAGTTATGTATCTAACAGTGATTAAGATGGAGAGAGCTCCGAGTTATCTATTACTGGCTTTTTGGGTGAGTGAAGATATAGCCAGGGAAGTGGCGTTTTGTTTTGAAGGCTAGTTTCTCCTTATTTCTTTGCCATTTGAATTAAAGGTGAATAGGAGGGACCTTTTGCAAGGGCAGGAGAGTAACCTTCCCATAGGCCAGCAGTGCCCCTTGTTTTCTTAAGCTATAGAGAATCCAAGAATTGAGAAAAAGAAAAAAAAAGGAAGCTCGGGGCTCTTTGACTGAGAGAGTTCACGCGTGAGATGAGGATGAGGTGGCATAGCCCACAAATGAGTAAGTGATACAAGGGAACAAAAGAATAACAAATGATGAGCAATTCAAACACCAGGCATCTAAGATTTATTCATTCACGCAGTAGTAATTCTGTGAGTTTGGTTCCATTGCAGCAGCAGAAACAAGGCAGATAGGGTGAAAAGTCGAGAACCCCGCTAAACCGTTCGCCCGCCGCCCGCCTTTCATATTTTATATTTGCAAATCAAATTATGGTAGCAAAAATGGGTTTGTACACAGGACGGTATTTATACACAAAAATGTATTCATTGGTATCTAACAGTACAAGCCGAAGGGTATCCTAAATCCAAAGAAGAAAGAGACTCGAAATTGAATTAATTAATTTGAACCATCTACAAAAATAAATGTAACACTTGTTAGATCAAGTTTTTGTACTGTCAAATTAAAGGGTTGCAACTCAAAATGTTAATATTCTACTTGTGCAATAATAACTGATAAATGAATTTTCTATTTATTAAGCTTCAAAGTCCCACAACATTATAATCAAAGTGCGTGCAGTTTTCCATTGTTGAATGAGTTAAGTAGATCACTGTGCTCCACGCTCTTTGAAGTGACGTAGAAATCTGTCCTTTCACAGAAAGAGTCAAACTAGGGGTCGGGTTTCTGTCAGAGAAGTGAAACTCCTACAACAGAAGATGAGTAGTCGTTTGGATTTTCTGTTAGAACGAAAACAAAAGCCTTTTTTTTTTTGTTCTGCTAACTAGCAGCGATCTCTCTATTTCTCCCTTTTTATTTATTTATTTCGTGCATCTCTCTCGGTCTCACTTGTTTCCTTTGCAAATATCTCTCTCTTCCCTTGTTTGTTTTTATCTGTACTTTATTTTTACCATTTTGGGATATGAAGACGACCGTGCAGCAGTTCCACAACAGCTCCTGTTGTCACCAAGAAAATAATGGCTTGTCCAATTGCAACAGCATATATTCACCTTCCAGCTCATCAATGGAGGTGTTAAAACACATGGATTCTCTTTCTATTAGTCCAACCTATCATGTTTACTCTTCACAAAATATATGTTACTGTGGTGATAATATTCCTGTGAAGGGTCACATGGGGATTTCATGTGTGATCTACTGTCCTTGTAGCTTGGAAGCGGATGCCCGAAACTGTGAGGTAGGTGGTCATTTTTCTAAGGGCTCTGAATCCATTGATGAGTTTGGAGAAAACAATGCTGCAGTTTCCATGGAGGATATAAGGAGAAGAATCTGTATGAATGAAGATAACCCTGGTGATTGTTTTCTCAGTGGGAAGGATGTTGGGCAGTCTAAGGTTTGTGCTAGAGGGCATTGGAAACCTGCCGAGGACTCTAAACTCAAGGAACTTGTTGCACTTTATGGACCTCAAAACTGGAATCTTATAGCTGAGAAGTTGCAAGGAAGAACAGGTAAAATCTGTTAAAGAAATTCTTGCAAAGTTCTGTTCCTTTTATGCATTTTTTCCCCTCCATGATGAAAATACATATGAAGCTTGTGCTTGAATAATGACAAATTAACATGTAAAACCTTTAATTAATTTGAAGGTAAAAGTTGTAGATTGAGGTGGTTTAATCAACTTGACCCAAGGATCAACAAAAAGGCTTTTAGTGAAGAGGAAGAAGAAAGGCTGATGACAGCTCATAAAGCATATGGTAACAAATGGGCGATGATTGCTAGGCTTTTCCCCGGGAGAACTGATAATGCTGTCAAAAACCAATGGCATGTTATAATGGCAAGGAAATACAGGGAGCAGGCTAGTGCCTATAGAAGGAGAAAGCTAAGTCAAGCTATTCAAAGAAAGATGGAAGAAAATGGGAACCTTAACTGCAGAGAGGCGGCTAATGGCAACAACACAAACTCCCCTAAAAACCCATCTGTTGGGTCTAACGGCTTTTACAACAAGACTTCAAGGAAAGGAGCTGCAACCTGTGTTAGAGATTTGTTTCTTGGGTCTAAGAGCCACAACTCTTTTTCTCCTGGGGAAGGAGCTTGTAGAAATCGGACACCCTTAGATTTCTTTTCTGGTTTGTCCTTTTGGTCCCTACTTTATGTCATTTCACAACCTTTATACATTTACTTTTGTGCTTCCTTTCATTGGCTACTTTAAGCTAAATTTACAAATCTTTCATGAAGTTTCTCTTCTACGTTTAGTCATCCTAGTGTAAGATTAACAGAACTGTTGCATTTACAAGTTCATATATTACTAATCATTAGTGAAGTTCAACTTTAAGCACTTATTTATTTTCCAAAGAAGACCATCTTCAATTTCTTGGTCTTTCGTTAAAAAAAAAAAAAACTTCTTTTTGCTGCATTTGATTATTGATTTTTGGTTTTTTTTTTGTGAAAGGGTAAATTGTGTGTTTTTGCAGATTACATCAGGCCAGAAAGCTTCAGATGGAATAGTAGGCAATGGAATATGCTCCAAGACGAAACAACCTTGACTGCTTCCTATCCATATTCTCATCCTTCACAGATGTTAATGCAGCAATCAAGTAACCATCAGCGATCTGGTTTCTCAGACTCCATAGCGTCAGTATCTCAGGTCACAGTCACTGAAACATCATCATCATCACCATCAGCTGCAGAGAAGGCAGCAGCAAGCCATTTGGAGACTACCGCATCACCACCACCCTTTATAGATTTTCTTGGAGTAGGAGCTTCATGAAGAACAAGGCTTTCCAAACCTAGTAAATGGATTTAGAACTAAAAAGAGTGTCCAAAGAATAGCTGAGACGTCATTGCAGGGCAAAGAGAAGGGATTATTTTCTAGATTAATCAGGATTCAGAACAGCCCTTATTATCATCAGCATCTCTGTCCTTGTAACTATTCCCACAAAATCCAACAGTTGAACCAGTGAACTAGTACTCTTTTTCAGTCTAGCAGTATTCCTGTTTCTTTCTTTCTTTCTTTCTTTATTTCAATTTCTTCTTTTTTTAAGAAGGAAAGAATTAATGTAGAAATTATGGTTATCCATGGAAACTAAAATGAAAAAGAAAAAGAAAAACTGAACGATTTAGAGAGTACACTTCCATGTTGCTGTACATGTTTACCTTTTAGTAAAAGGAAACTTAAAAAAATTGAAGCAAGTTCAATATGGAAAAGAAGGTTTGGGGTCCTTTTCCTGTGGGGCAAAGAAAGTGACAAAAGGTTCAGTGATGTGCTAATGCTGGAGAGAGCAGTAACAGAGAGTGTGTTATTGGAATGGAACAACTGTGGGAATAATAAGTTACAAAATAGAACAGAACAAAACATGGGTACTTTTCAAACATAAGATTTTCATGGGCCTGCAGAATTCAGGCGTAGATATTTCTTACTTGTCACAACCATCTTACATTTGCATGATTCTCTTCAAGAGATATATGCTTATGCCTTTACCTACGTCCAAATCTGTGCAACATTATCTCATTAAATTTTGCCTCTCTTGCCTGCCTGGCTCTTCACAAACACATTTAGTGCTTGCAACTTTTTGGTGTGGCTATGATTACCGATATATGTTCAGCCTGGATTTCTCCCACAACCTGCATGTTATCTCAAGACATTTTTTGTTCATTCCCCTTTGTCTAATAAAGCTAAAGCATATGAAGAAGGCCTAGGGATACCCCAGCTGCTGTGTCGATCTTGTGGTTTCCTTTGGATACTGTTAACTTGTTCCCAATTATAGCCGGAGGACTTAGGCCTCTTCAAACGATGACACCAACTTTACTTTTGGTGAACACTGAAAGGCTATTAATTAAATTAAGAAGTTATAAATGTTAGAACACTGAACTAGATAATGTAAAAATTAGCTTCAATGAATATATCAATGTTACTGTCTTTAAAGTGTTATTCGTTTTACTTATATGCAAAAGAGTCGCCGGTGTATAAATCTTGATGATACAATAAATCTTAATAATTGACTGCATTTTGAATTGACAAAATCAATCCACTGAACACTCATCGGAGTATAACAAGATCAAACATCTATAACATTTTTCTGCAGCAAAATAATATAAAAAAAACTTGAAAAATGTTTGAGAAAGGAAGGAAAGATTTTTTCTGTTTACCGATATACTTCTGTTGTCTAAAGAATGGTCCTTAGATGCCTATTCCCAATAGACACAATTTATATCTCTTTCAAACAATCACACATGTCTATTTCAAATAGACATAACTCTTGATTTTTCTCAAAAGACGTGACTCTTTTTTTTTTCTATTTTCAACTGACATAATTTTTTCAATATGATTTTTCAACAAACGTTTTATTTGAAAATGTTCCAACAGATATAAATGCAACACATGCATGCTAACAAAAATAACTAGAAATCTTTTTCCTAAAGTTAAAAGAAATGCCAAATTACTTAAATTAATACATAGTGATGTGTGTAATATGCATAGTACATCTACATTAGCTGGAAAGAAATATTTTGTCATATTCATTGATGATTTCTCTAGATATTGTTAAGCATATTTGTTGCATTCTAAAAATGAAGTACTTGATAAATTTAAGGCTTATAAATCCGAAGTTGAATTACAATGTGAATCTTTTATCGAATGTTTACAATCGGATAGAGGTGAAAAATATTAAAGTCCAAGTTATTTTACCTCCATTGAGATAATCCAACATATTTCAGCACCTTACACACCATAACATAAATGGCATAGCAGAAAGAAAAAATAGGGTATTGACCAAAATGGTAAACGCTATGTTATCATATTTAGGTCTTGGAAAAAGTTTTTGGGAATAAGCTTTGTTAACAGCTTGTCACATATTAAATAGAGTTCTTAAAAAAGAAACTAAAATGACCCTATATGAGCAATGGAAAAAATGAAAATCATATATTAGTTATATAAAGGTTTGGGGATGTAGAGTTGTAGTTAAAGTTTCGAAACCCAAAAGAAAGAAATTGGGTGAAAAAGGAATAGAATGCATATTCATAGGATATGTACAACATAATAAAGCATATAGGTTCATGGTAATTGAACCAACTGATTCAATTCCAGTCAATGCTATTATTGAATCAAGAGATGCAATATTTGTTAAAAATATATTCAAATTTGTTTCAAGACAATTACAACTACTACAATCAATTCAATCAAAAGTCATTCCATTGGAACAAAATAATTATGAATCTAGATTCCTTATTGTTTTAATTTGGAATCGGACCCTATTTCACATGACAAAGCAATAAAGTCTCAAGATTTTGCATTTTGGAAGGAAGTAATTAATGATGAGATGGACTTAATAATGCCAAATAATACTTGAATTTTGGTTGATCTTCCACCAAGTTCCAAACCAATAAGTTGTAAATGGATTTTCAAAATGAAAATAAAAGTGGATGGAACCATAGACAAGTTTAAAGCAAGATTACTAGCTAAGGGCTTTACACAAGAGTAAGAGATTGACTACTTTGATATTTTTCCTCTTGCTACAAGTAGATTTCTAATTTTTCTTGCATCAATTTATAAGTTGGTAATTCATTAAATGGATGTCAAAACAACAATTTTAAATGGTGAATTAGAAGGGAAAGTCTACACAGAACAACCAGAAGGTTTATTGTTTCAGGACAAGAACATAAAGTTTATAAACTTGTCAAATCATTGTATAGGCTTAAACAAGCACCAAAGCAATGGCATAAAAACTCTAATGAAATTGTTTTAGCGAATGGCTCTAACATAAATGTGTCTATCAAGTGCATATATAGCAAATTTCAAAATGGTAAAGGTGTTATAATTTGCTTATATGTGGATGATATGTTAATTTTGGGTACAGATTAGGAACAAATCGAGGAGACAAAGAAGTTTTTATCAAATAACTTTGCAAATAAAGATATGGGTGTAGCAGATGTCATTTTAGGAATTAAAATATTTCGAAATGAAAATAACATAACTTTATCTCAATTGCACTAAATTGAACAAGTGCTTAGAAGGTTTGATCTTAATAATTATACACAGCATCTACACCCATGGATCTTCAAATTAATTTAGTATCTAATGCTGGTTGGGCTGTTGATCAATTACAACATGCAAGACTAATAGGTTGGTTGATGTATGCAATGATATGTACAAAGCCAGATATAGTATTTGTTGTTGGAAAGTTAAATAGATATACAAGTAATATAGGTACTTTGTATTGGTAAGTCATAAATCAAGTACTAAGATACTTAAAAAAAACAATCAATTATGGACTTTGCTATAATGGATATCCATAAGTATTAGAAGGATATTCGAATGCTAGTTAGATTACAAGTTTAAAAGATCATTCTTCCACAAGTGGATGGATCTTTATGCCTGGTGGGGATGCCATTTCTTGAAGATCTAAAAAGCAAATGTGTATAAAAGATTTTTTCATGACAGTCGAGTTTATTACATTGGCTGTTATCACCAAGGAAGTCGAATGGCTAAGAAATTTACTCTATGGAAGTCTAGACATAATGGATTAAGACATACCTATATTTGACAATTAATTTCTAATAAAGTGGTCATTGTAACTTTTGTGAGGTCTAGTGAAAACTTAGTGGATTTTTTAACAAAAAGTCTTGCTAAAGATCTTGTAAATAAGACCTCAAAGGGGATAGGGTTCAAGCTCATAAATTAAAAGTCACCCATGATGAAAACTCGACTCAACGCTTGGTATAACATCAAATCTAGAGTTCAATGAGACAAAGTACATCATTTGTATGTGACTACTAGTACTATGATATAATATATTATATTCCATCCCAAATAAAGTGTTAGGTACTCGTAATGGTAAGGAAATGATGAGTTATATACTTTTAATAGATCCATAACATAAATTTGTTAGAATGTTTTAGTTACAGGGGCATTCTTAATAGGATTTATGTGAGTATGAAGCGAGGTCACTTTTAAAAGTTCAAGGCCTTGGCTCTAACAACATTCATGAAAAGAAGATACAGACGTATGGCCATAAAAGTATCACCAGATACTGTGCATTCATAGTGTTGAAATCGTTGTGTGAGATGTGTTTCGTTAACCAAATGGAATAGCAAGTTCAAAACATAGTCTACCATGCAATTTTAATTAACTTTAACATATTTTCACTAAGTGAAGGTTCAATTGAAAGACACCTTCATTTATGCAAACAATTTCCTAGATTATTGAAAATTTGGATTAATTTGAAAATGAAAGGATTGTTGGAACATTTTCAAATAAAATGTTTGTTGAAAAATGACATTGGAAAAATTATATATGTTAGAAATAAGGAAAAAAAAAGGAGTCACCTATGTTAGGAAAAACCAAGAGCTATGTCTATTTGAAATAAACAGGTGTGATCGTTTGAAAGCGACACACACTGTGTCTGTAAGGAATAAGCATCTAAGCCTATAAAAAGGACCATCTTTTAGACAACAAAAGTACATCAGTAAACAAAAAAATATTTCCTTCCTTTCTCAAACATTCTCTAAGTTTTCTTCTATATTATTTTGCTGTAAAAAAATATTATAGAAATTTGATAATTTTGTTATATTCCGGTGAGTGCTTAGTGGATTGATTTTATTAGTGCAAAACATTGTCAATCATTAAGCTTCATTATATCTTTGAGGTTTATATGCTGGTAACTTTTTTGCACACCATAACTAAAGACAAATAGAACCTTAAGGACAATAACATTGATACATGCCTTGAAGCTAATTTCTAAATTTTTCAATTTGGTGTTCAAACAATCAAAATAGTAAAAATCTTTCCTTTCTTTCTTAAACATTCTCCAAGTTTTCTTCTATATTATTTTACTGTAAAAATATATTATAGAAGTTTGATAATCTTGTTATACTCCGATTAGTGCTCAGTGGATTGATATCGTA